TGGGGAGGGTGGGTGGGGAGGTTTGGAGAGAGTGTGACTTGTCTGTCTGCTCTAACAAGATTTATTAGTACTGTGTAAAAACGTATTTCAGCTTTTTTCGACTACATAAATATTGTTGTGGAAATGTGACATAACACAGGCCACAATAATAGACTCCACCCAACCAGAAGGAATCTAATTCATAGCTAGGAAGCAGGAAACTTGTAGAGTAGAATGAAACGATGACACAGGACATGGGTGAGAGGCATTTGGCAGGCAGGGTAAGTCATTATTTCTTAGTGCTTTCCTGTGTAGTTCCTGTATTATCAAGTAGTGCTTGGCTCCCAGTAAGCAAAAAGAGTAAGTGACCTGAACAGAACTGATTTTGTATGCTTATGAACACCTGATGCGATTCCATTTTTAGATCTAATATAGAATCTTGTTAATTATGAATCAAGGTTCTAGTTCCTTTTATGTCTGTGGGAGGCAGCGGTAGGGAGGAGAAAGGAGGGTGGCAAGGGAGTTCTTGCTTTTTTTTTTCCCTTTTGGGTAAAAGGCAACTTAATTCTATTTGTAGTAGAGATTAAATGGGCACTATTAAGCTGAAAAGTTAGTTTAAAGGTATGCTAATGAAAAAACAATTTACACATAATCTACATTCTCTTGAGTATCTCTCTAGTCATTATCAGTTGAATGCTTGCCAGGCACTGAGCTGAGTACCTGGATACTAAGAGGGTATTAAACAGTCCCTTCTGGAGCCAGCAGGTGGCGGTGGTTAAAGGGCTGGACTCCCATGTGGCTGACTTTGCTAGGAGCCTGAACTGGGGGCTTGAAAATGACGCCAGGCATTGGCAATGCCCAAAATCCTGAGAGGAGACAGGGTTGCTGTGAGGTCATCCCCCTTTGGGGGATTTCTTGCTTCCCTTCTCTTTGTCTTTCTCTGGCAAGCATGTGGCCCATGTGCCCTATGGCCAAACTGAACAACAAGAAAAGGTCCCTGCTTTCAAGGTTTTATGTAGTTTTTAATACTGAGTGGACAAAAGAGATGCGCTTAAACACCTACATACATAGATGTTTGCACGCACAGATAAGTACCCACACAAGTGATATGTGGTAAGGATCAGATGGTCAAGGAGTTAACTGAAGTTCAAAGGAGGGAAGTGAGTGAACAGATCTTGGAAAGAAGTTAGACCACACAGAGAGGGGAGGAAAAAGGGAGAATTCCTAGGAGGATAAGCAGCTGGGCAAAAGTGTAAGAATCTGAAATAATGCTATAGGATGCCCTCTCTCACACAGCACTGCCTGAACGCCAACAGATTGTGACGTTGTGGGTTCGATTTCTAAGGCTCTTGGATATATTGCTGTTAAAATCGATGAATCTTTTCCATAGACCAACAGCTAGTGACATTTCCAGACCCTATCGTGAAATTCCCTGTGATCAGTGTCCCAAGCAGAGATGACCATATACCACAAATGATAATTCAGGAGATAGTACAAATATTTCTGGAGAGAGAAAACAAAGCTACAGCTCATATAGCCCTCACTGTGTGCCAGTCCCTTGTAAAAGCACACCTTTCACCAATATATACTCTATGCTGTATGTTATAATTCTTTTATCAGGCAGGTTCTGTTAGTAGTTCCATTGTACCGTTGGAGAGAGAGAGGCACAGAGAGATCTCTTGCCCTCACGGATACTCATGGGTGGGACTGGGATCCAAATTCAGACAGTCTGGTTTCAGAGTCAGAGCTCCTGTCAATGCAGACGAAATTAAAACAAAACAAAACAAAACAAAAACAACAAAAAAACTAAGACAAAAACCAAAGCGCGCGCTTGCGCGGACTTTGCACTCACAAACCCTAGCTTGTAAAAGAATTGATGCAGCCAGTAGTTATACAGCTACATATCCCTGCTAAATTTAAATGCCTTCCATAGGAAAACGTCCATTAAAAAACAAAACAAAGCAAAACGAAGCAAAAAACTCAAGCAGTCTTAGAACAACATTACGCGGTGCTTTGTATTGCTTGCCTTTACAAAGTGGAGTTAAAAACCAAAGCCCCAGAAACCGTCTATCCACAGGCTCGCAGTACCTGGCTTGGGAAGTGAAAGAGACCTGAAGCAGGGAGTGGGTCTTCGAGCGGCCCTGTGGGGAAAGGGTTAAGACCGTGTGCTGCAACTTGGTCGAGTTTCAGAAAGTTCTCTGGGGAGCCAACTGCAGCGTCCCTTCGCGGACCCTGCAGGGGAGGCCGTCTGTAACAGGATGCGGGGGCTCGAGGCGCTCGCCCCGGGAGATGGGCGACGGAAAAGAACCAATAAGGAACCAGGGGAAAATCGGGTGCAGTAAACCCGAAAAGGGGACGAGGAGGCTCGCGGGAAGAGTGGGGGGAGGAGACAGGGCGGGGCGGGAGGGGCCGAGCGAGGAGGAGGTGGCGCTCCGCGCGGCGCG